TCATAATTTATTTAACCGGTGCTCTTCCATCGACTCACAACCGAGTTCCACGCTTGGAAGTAGTGAGGGTCACCGGGAATCCCTCTTTCTCACTTTGAGCAAAGTGAGTGGCACGCCTTCACAGTCTTATCTGCCACGCGGCCAGAAAGGGAGATTTTGGAGACAACAATTAGTTTCATGAGTTTTTATATGTAATGAAATATAATATAATTTAAATTATATTAGATTTATTATAATAAATTATTAACTAAAAATGAATTTGTAATATTAAAATTATTTTTTATTTAATATTTTTTTTAAATATAAGAGAATTTTTGGAAAAAGAAGTATTTTTTTGAGTAATAAGTAAAAGTAAAACTCCAAACCTATATAAGTTAGGCTTTTAAATTTGGTGGGTAAACTAATAAATTTAATGAATTAGTTCATTTTTTATAATTTAATACAATTCAAATTATAAAATAAAATTCTCCTCTACATCCATATTCCACATGAGACTTTATTTCTGTTCAAACATAAGATATTTTCATACTTCTTTCGACTCAACTCAAATGTAAACTTCTCCACCAACTTCATCGGTTGTGGAAGCGTACTACCCCATTGAAGTTCTTTTACTAACATTAACAATTTAGTTGGTGGTTACTATAATTTAATAATTTCTTTTAAACAACCTTACTTCTATTGGGACCTATACACTCGAACAATGGAAAAAAAAAATCTTAGTTAGGTGAAATTAATTTTACATTAATAAGCAAACTAATCTCCTTTTAATTATATAAAAATGTAAATATTATACCACATGATTTCACATCACGTGGAATGTGTCCATTGCCATTCCTTTTTTCCACCGCATTCTGCACACAATCATGAATAGTAGACATCATAAAAAAAAAGCTTAACACTCAGCCATAACTTTTTCTAATTTCCTCAAAACATATATTTAATTCCCATAAAAAAACATGCTACATGTATTTAAAATTATTTAAATTTAAAATATATAATTTAAATTCAAATATGAGTTTTTATTTTTATTTTTTCAAACTTTCAATAATTGCAACGAAATAGAATTTCCCATGAAGAAAATCTATGAAGGAAGAAAAGGTGGAGTGCACATAGGGGTAGAATGGTAATAAAGGAAGGGGAAAACGTGGAGGGGACTAACTGGACAGGAGAAGACGAGAGCCGTTGTGATATAAAGGTAAAGGGCAAAACGGGAAAGAGTGTGACGGAAGTATTTTCCGACGGTTTTTGCAGTGAAGGCTAAGAAAAATGATAGTGGAGGGTTGCCGTCATTTGTCATGTGCAGTTAACTCCCTCCTCCAAGTAGCCCCCATTGCCTCTAATTTCCCCCAACTACCCTTTCCTTTCCTTTCCTCTCTCTTTTCTCTCTCCTCTACAACACCAACATTTGTCTGAAACTGAAAGTCACTTGGCTTCCTCGTTGTTGCTGCATCACTTTCCTTGTCCTGAAAATTCTTGCCCGCATTCGGACAACGGTTTTCTAAGGAAAACAAATTGGGTTTTTTTTTTTTTTTTGGTTGGGTACAGAGTTAATTTTCTCTCTTTATTCTTCGTTATTCTTCGTTATTCTGTGTCTTGGAATTGTGGCCTTGCTTTCTTTAGCTGCTTCCTATGGAAGCTTCGGCTCCAGCTGCTGCGGCTGAGGATTGTTGTGTTAAGGTTGCGGTGCATATCCGACCGCTCATCGGGGATGAGAAGCTCCAAGGTTGTAAAGACTGTGTCACTGTAGTCCCGGGAAAGCCGCAGGTACCGTCATTATGGAAAATGTCACTGTTGTTGTGAACTCAAAGAGTGTGTCTTGTGTCATGCTCTTGGTATATGGAGATCTGGATCTAAGGGTGATAAATGGGTATTCACAGTCTGGTTTGGAGCAGAATTCTGTTGTCATTGTTTTTTTCTATAATTGGCTTGGTTGTCAGGAACAGACCATAGAGGGGAAAATCATGTATAATTAAGTAGAATTAAGTCTATTTTTCCTGATGGTTCTGTTGTTAATTTACTCAGGTAATGAATATATGTACTTGTTATTGAAAGTTAGGATTTTTCCTTGGGGATGGTGGTGTGGGAGGCGGAGGGAGAAGGAGGAGCTTGATGAATTTCCTTTCCACCTGAGTGTGATTCTCATTAAAAGGAAAGGGAAAATGGAAATTCAATGAGGAATTCTGCTTCTTGGTGTGACCTGGATTGCGACCTGCTTTGTTTTTTAAATTGTACCAATTCATATCAGATATCCCAATGTTGAATTCCTCTCATGAATTCCTTATAGAAGTCAAGGCCGAATTTTCCAAGTTTTAGAACACAGCTAATGATCTAAACATTTTAGGTTGTCATTTCGAATATAGATGTTTTTGTTACATTGGTTTTCTGAGATTATATGATGGTTTTGACTACACTGCAGGTGCAAATAGGGACACATTCTTTTACTTTTGATCATGTCTATGGGAGCACCGGTACTCCTTCCTCTGCTATGTTTGAAGAGTGTGTTGTTCCTCTTGTTGATGGCTTATTCCAAGGATATAATGCTACCGTTCTTGCTTATGGCCAGGTAAGGCTTAATCTCTGTGAAGAACTGCTAAACCTTTTCTCTCATTTCCTTGTAGTTGAAATTTTTATTTTATATTTTTTTTT